TCTCTCTCTCTCTCTCTCTCTCTCTCTCTCTCTCTCTCTCTCTCTCTCTCTCTCTCTCTCTCTCTCTCTCTCTCTCTCTCTCTCTCTCGGTTGTCCTCTTTGCAGGTGCGCGCGGCGTCGTTCCTACTCCGCAGGTCAGCTATGGCGGACTTCTCCTTCAATAGCGATGGCGCGTGGAATAGCGGGTACCAGCTCTGATACCAATGCAATCAGACTCGCTTTCTTTTCCACTTCGCATTTGTGCAGACAGATGACAAGTCACACTGGCGCTCAGCGCCCACTCACAGCTCAGAGATATGGAAGTTGGAAACACAGTTCAGATACATGCTCGCTTCAACAGGCTATGGCGCATCAGCGCCTGTACAACTCTCTGTTCGTCACTGTGCTTAACCCTGCTGTTCACGCACACTCCACTTAGGATCACCCTGGATATCCCACATGCGACACACTGTATCACACACACGCACACACCACACTCGCCTATCATCTACGGTGGCTATGGACGCTCAACCCTGCTGGCTATGGCTACTCAACCTCTACTCTGCCCACTTCGTCTTCGGGCGCTCTGCAGACCACCTCGCACAAGTCGCTCAAGCAGCACTTCCGCATAGCTTACGCAGGAATGAGTGAATGGCTGGGCGCTGCCTCTTGATTTATACTTCTGTAGCCATTTTTTTAAACTTTTGCCTAATTGAACACCCTGTTTGATCGCGTTCATTGAACTTGCATGCATTCCATTCAAAAACTGAACAGAAAACCCGCGTTCAATGAATGCGCGGTTTCATAGCACCCTACCCCCAGAAAGATCGTCACCCAAGCTATGAGCCTGATTGTCGCCATTTTTTTTAACTTTTTTTTTTCACCCTGATAACATGGATCCCATTAACTCTTAACAACTCTTGAAAAAGCCAGATTTTTTATTCAATTCTTCTGAGTGCAAAAATTGCCGAAGTCAGTGCAGTCAACATTATGCAGAAAGCCTTGACACCCCACGGCTGGTATCCCAACCCATCCCTCAGCCAGCTGCGGAAATCCAATGACGCATTTAAAATCTGATGAGGGCTGTGTGTGATTCGATTGAAAAATGGAAAACGCAGTGATTCTGTAGTCCACGTCTCTCTTCAAGCCGAGCTCACTTAACTTCCCTTCAGATTTCTTTTTACGTTCAGAATGATCTTTCTCAGTTACAAACTTGTGGCCCAAATTACTTTCTTTCCCCAAATAGAACACATGGTCATTAGTGCTGCATCTTGACTGAAAGTTGTCCCAAATACAGCTGTAGTGTCCGCATGTTGTATTTGGCAAACGAGGATAACTGCGACACTGTTTCCTAGAGTTGGATCACTCTTCCAGATAAAACAGTTGACGTCATCAGCTGATACTGAGGGGGATCTTTGTCCTCTGGCGATGGTCAGTCAATCATTCATCTGTCCGCGATGGATAGACATTCACAACTTCGCATGCAGGCTCATCACGGCAGCAGTCGTATTCTTCCTGGTCTGGTCTGGTCTGGTCTGGTCTGGTCTGGTCTGGTCTGGTCTGCTCTGGGAACGCAACAAGACTGGGCTCATTCTGGGTGGAAGGGCACACACTACGTACTCCAAAGAAATCAACGAGTCCCCATCGCATTATGGGCCATGGATGGATCTCGTTTTTTGGAGGGGGCCGGTGATGGATCTCTTTTTCACATCCTGAACCGGCTGGATTAGGGGCTTCTACACTGGTGGAAAGGCAGCAGGCTGAAATCCATGGCCAGTGACGAGAGTTCTGCCCCTGTGAAGAGATGCCTGCAAGTTAGGTGAGGTCCATGATCTTGATGAGTTGCCTTGAGTTCTGCTCCTGTGAGCGAAGCTATGCCTGCGAGTGAAGCGAGGTCCATGATTTTGATGAATTGCGTCATGGTCCAAGTCCACTGGGGGTCCCTCCCGTCTTGCCCCACAACGCACCCTCATTATGAATGTATCAGACGGGAAAGATAGCTTGTATACATTCATGATCATGGTGCGTTGTTTTGGGGGGAATACGGTACCCAGCTTTTTGTAACAAGCCAGCCATCCCAGCTTGAGCAAGGAGAAGCGAGAGGGGAGTGGGCAGGGTACACATGCACACACTCACCCTCCTTACCCTTTGACTGTGATGGGACGCTCGACTGTGTTTGGATGATGAATGGACGGTTTGTGCCGAGCATCCTTAGCAGCTACTAGTCGAATGATAGAGCTCACGTGCAATTGTCTGAAGATTCTGAACCAGACTACAGTGCAAGATCTCTCCCAGATGCGGCTGATGGGGTACTTATACATCAGGGAGCAGCCTAACAGTGAGGCTGGTTTCCAACTTTTGTCTGAATAAAAGACCGCATTTACTCTGAAACAAGTGGGTATCAGGAAGGTATTGGCAGAATACAAACGTTAAAAAAAGGAGGGGGGGTGTGGGGGGGGTGGGAAGGGGGGAGTTAAAAAAACAAGATGTTCGACCTTGGCCTGAACCCTGGTATTCCTTCTCTATATCAACTGTGTGATAGGATCAAGGATTTGTCAAGCAGGTGAGCGATCGTCATCTATTATGTTGCCCACTGTCTTTCCCCCGGACACAACACCCAGTTGCTATACCTGTAGCTAATCTGTTATTTAATCTGTCATATGAGTAATCTGTTATGAAATTGGTCATCTATCTTTGCGCTCCCTGTTATCTATCTTTTTCTCTCTCTGTGATCTGTCTGTTACCTATATATCTGTGCATCAGGCCTTCAGCAGATTCTGACTGGACTTTTGAACCGTAATTCTCAGCGCGTGTGTTGCTGATGCAGGTCAGGCATTGTGTAGAGGAGGGCCTCCCATTCGGTTCGACTTCTGTCAGTAAGGATGATGGCAGACGAATTGTGGGTACATTAGCTGTGAGTTACCATACCCTTGTTTTTATCATGTGTATTTGCCCCCCCCCTCCCCCCCGCCCCTTTCCCTTCCCAAGAGAGTGTATTCCCCATTCGGATTCTTCATCATCTGTTTGTAAAGAGTTCTGCTTGTAAAGAGTTAACTTCTCTAACCTAATATATAATAAGCTGTTACACCAAAGAACGAGTATGTCATAACAGTAGGCAGGTGTTTTGGGGTGAGATCTAGTGAGTTCGATCCTTAGTGGTAACACGTCATATGATCTCTCTCTCTCTCTCTCTCTCTCTCTCTCTCTCTCTCTCTCTCTCTCTCTCTCTCTCTCT